GGAGACGATTTTGAAGTAAAAGTCAATATCCTTGCACAGGAGTCTAAAACACCAGCGCGAAAACTTTTTGAGGCTTTTTGGATAGGTGCCAAAAACCCTACAATGAGTAGTAGCGATGAATGCCCAGAGGTCATACTCGACCTGATCCCGTACGTTCGCATCCATTTTTGATGTGGGATGGTGCAGTCGTCAACCACATGCGACTATAATCAGCTGTTCTAAACTTCCTCATTGGAAGTCACGAAAAAGCGGTGGGTTTTTTCGAGAAGTTGTTGATCATGTAATTACCAAAGACTCCTTCGTCATTTTGTAAGTGCTATTGAAGCGTTTGGCCTAGTAGATTGTATATCAGTATGCCCTTCCAGGCTCTGAAGAAGGCGATACTGCCGAAACGTCAGCTAGCGTTGTATTGTATTGTGTTTTTCTATGGAAGTAAATGTATGCTGTTTAAAAACCTCGCGATTGCTGAACAAGAAAACGACGCTTTCATATTCCAGTGCCGAGGTTAATAGAAAGTCGATCCTGGGAACTATTATATGTACGGAAACTTCGGCATTAACAGTGTTGCATTACAAGCGAATAACATCTTTTTAGTGTCGGTAGTTGGTTAGGTAAAGGTGGGTTAACATTAAATTTAACCACAGTGATGCTAAGATATTCGCAGAACTTAGACCCAGGCCATATCGAACCACGATTACCCTTTCTTGGGTCTGGCTTGTTACACACAGCACCGCTGAGGACCTTGCTTTGCCTTTCTTAAATTTAATTTCTTTGATCTCATTAGAGTGGTCAATAAGCCTGTTGTTAGTGTTATCCACTAAAGGAGAAGTCAGATCAGTTGTTTTTTCGTCATTATGCTTTTGGTTAGTCTTTTTTTGCCAATGAGTTTTTTAGTACTACGTAAACAGTTCAGATAGGTCTTTCAGGCCATGGAGTTTCCATAGATATAGCCATTCTTTATGGAGCTTGCAAGTTTTTCTTTCAACAAATTTACCTTGAATAGTAAAGTCCGCATATCATAGAACTTCATTTAATGGTAATTCTGTTTTAGAGCAAATATGAATCATCGGATGAAGAATGGGTCGAAAGGGACGATGATGATGGGCCAGAAAGACGCCAGGAAGTTTCGAATTTGCTCAAAGATGAGAAATTAGTGGAAAGGTTTGACAAAAAGAGCCTGACTGATACAAAGGAAAGAAGAAAAGAAAAAGGTGGACGCAGTGCGCAAACGTCAACTAGCAGACCTCACGAAGAAAGGAAAGATCGACATGATAGCAGACATCACACCAGTGATCGGTATAGTCGAAGAGAAGACACATCGAAAAGAGAGAATGACAAATCCGACGAGAGCCGACGATCGAAAAAATACGACGATATGGACAGGACGTCAAACAAGTATATTTCACTTTCTTGTACAACTACTTAAGAGACTCGTTAAACTTATGAAAACTCTAACTGAATGCTTTTGAACTGTTTGACTAGTCCATTTCGCTTACAAGCAGCGTTTTAACCATTAGGTAAGGAACAAACTTTGTCAGCGCTGACCACATTGTAAGTACACACCATGCAGTATGGATGCAGGAAACGTAATTTGAACGCTGCTCCAATTAAGTTAAGCCTTTCAGAAAACCTCGGAGAGAGGACGTGGATAGCGACAGAATGGAACGTAACAATCAAGAGAGAGACCGTGACAGTAGCAGACGTCGGGATGGATATCATAGTCGCGGTCGTGATGACAGGGAACGATTTCAGAGGGTATTCGTTTCTCAGTTTCATTTTTAGACCATACAGCTTCCCAATACTACAACATTTTTAGGTCATCATAAATAGTCATTCGTGTACTATGTTTTATCCTTTTGCAACTTAGTTTGTTTTCCACAATTTAGTCCGTAGATTGTAGAGATGGGACACCTGTGAAGTGCCATACAAAAGATAAGAAAATAGAAGAAAAAGTATACGCATATACATCTGTATATATATATATGTATGTATACATATATATTCATATGTATATATATATATATATATATGAGGGCACGTGTAGCGCAGTGGTCGAAGGAATCCTGCAGCACACGTGAAACCCATCCCCGCACTCCACGCTCACCAAGCCTTCCATCCCTCCGAGGTCGGCAGATTGGTACCAGACTTGTCTGGGAGGATAGCATCATTGGCTCGATATATCGGTAAGCCACCGCGAGTCATTATATAGGCCAGATGGTCACCTCCAACGATGCTTAATGAAGTCGAATGCATGACGCATCACTCAGGGATTGATTAATGACGAGAGCTCTATCCTTTATTTCGCTCATTATGTATATATATTTGTACATATATGTATATATATTATACGTGTATGTGTACGTGTATATATACTAGTGGACATGCATATATACATTTATATATTAATACATATGTATATTTATATATATATATATAAAATCTACGGCGTTTTTGTGGTGGTAAGAGGTGTACTTCCTTGTGTTTTTTGTGTTAACTAGATGTCATAATTCTCCGCTTAGAAGCCGAAAATTTCGAAACAGCCGAGAACTAGTATGACAGGAAATATTTTGCAAGAAAAGTTTTTTTACAAGTCATTCTCTATACGCTACTGTTTGCACAATTGAACACTTTATCTATTCGTTTTTTTAAACAGGTTTCTCATCGTAGTTAGAAGCAGTTCGTTATTTTGCGGCGCAGGCGGTGCATTTCTAGAAATCTAATTTTACGGTTTGGTCTCAGTTGCATAATTGGTGGATGCAACAACGTGGGACCATCATCGGCCAGTGCTGGCTTTTAGAAAGACGATCGACGGGGTTACGGAGCACCGCGGCGAGGCTACCGAAGTGGTGGAAATGGTGATCATTATGGAGCGCGTGGCCGAAATGAAGACAGAGAAAGATGGAGAGAAAAGGAGAGAAGGAATGAGAGGTACGGTCCCGTTAAACTATCGAAAATTTGCCGTTTATCGTTACCATCGTTTGATTTTTAAAGAGAGGACCGGTCAACATGGGATATACGCCCAAGTGCTGAGGAAGTTGCAAAACAGAAGAAACTTCTGTGGGGAAAGTCGACATCGCAGGCTAATGGAGAGGTATGGCGGTTTGAACCTTTGCTTAGAACTTGACTAATCTTCTTAAAATCCACTTCCTGATTATGACACTATCACTTTCCATGGTATTAAGTCATGCGCTTGTTCCCTTGGAACACATTGTCGGATTATGCAGAATCAGTGATACATAGTACATGAATGGGTTTATTCATCTTAGTCTCCAGCCAAGTTGATTTCATACTAACACTTAATGAGAAAGGTTATAAGAACTGTACAGTTTGTTTTTTTTAAGAGTTTTTTCTACGTCTTCTCCTGGTTTTTTCTTTTGCCACGTAGAATTCAGAATTTATTTTTATCCTTCTCATGTTCGGCCCACAGTTTTTCCAGTGCAAGTGTTGTGCCAAGTGTTTAAGAAAACTATTTTTACAAAAACTTACAACAACAGCTTTTGAACGAGTTTGTTGGTCTCCTCACAGAGCGGTTGCGTGGACGAACGTACTATAATATTGCTGTTGAAAAGAGTACCGTGGATGAATGTAGTTTTTCGATGAAAACGAAGGGTACGCATCCATGTCAAGGCGCACGAGAAAGCACTCGTATTCCTATGTGGTTGCCAATGAAATCAATTAATCTTCGCGTGTTTATTAATTAGAACGAAATATATGTGTAGGAAGGCGGCGTATGTGGTGATCATGGACCTGGTGAAGCAGCGACAGCGTCGTCTGGTCAACAAAAAAATGTTGGCTTGTGGTCCAGTGCAATTACAGCATGTGGTGTTGGTGGAGATCAGGCGAACAAGTTTTTGAAACTCATGGGAATCAAGAATGCCCCTACTGTGAATCCGGCTTCTGTAAGTTATTCGAGTGATGCGTTGATTTACGAATTTTTACTTAGCCCTATATCGTCATTAGTGTCGTTGAAACTTAGCAGTTCATTATACCCAAAGGAAAGAAAGTATTTGTGTACTAGTTTGTGTATAGTTTGTGTATTAGTCTGTATTAGTTTAGTTGTAGCGAGTGCTGTTCCATGTTCCATGGTTACATTATAAATTAGTCAATCTAATAGTTTACTAAGATACTCGCCTTCATATCGGGCCAATAACCTTCGTGTTTGTCTGTTTGGCGGCTTGGTGTATCCATATAGGAGATTATGGTAACATGTCCTTTTTACAAGTATAGTTCGAAAGTGATTTCCCATACCTCCATTTTTACTTGCTTAACGTTCTCGCGACAAGTCACCTGTATGGAAGTCATTTCGAAGTTACCGCAGTAGCCGGCTTAACTTCCATAGGTTTCATTTTCTTTCCTCTGGTTTATTTTAACATACAGGATTCTCTCTTATGCTTCTTGGATCAATAGATAACTTGTGGAACAAAAGTGTTGTGATGGCTGTTGTTCGGGAAAGGTTTTATGCTGCATTTAGAAATATACAAAAAATACTTCTTGGATAGAGTATATTGATTAGGAATTTGGACGGCAATTCACCATTGTTTCAGTTCTAATTCCGGTAGTGAATCATAGTCACTGTATGTATTGTGCTGGTATAAAAAACTGAAATAGGGATCGATAATTAGCCAAGCGCTTTCATATGCTGAAGGCAGTTTGCTTGTATGGTGAGCCATAGTAGAAATAGCACAATATAATCATTCAAACCCATAGGACGACAAATCAGAAGTTTCTTATAATCTTGTCATGCTCACAACACATAGTGTCCTTTAGGTATTCACAAATTGTTGTTCATTGTCAAAAACCAGTAAGTTCGTAGAGGCCAAAAATAAGGGGTCGTCCATTGCGGTAGAAAAACGAAGCTAGGATTCGTCGCGAGAGTGTTAGTAATAAAAATTTCACAGTGAGTAGAGTTTCTCACAACATACAACAATAAACATGAGTTCTACCTTTCATCAAGTTGCCTTCCTCAATTCTCAGGTTTAGGAGGACAATAAACGCCTACAAGAAGAGAGTGAGAAACAGAGGAAAGTGATGCAAGATCTGGATCGTCAATATGAAATTGCGCGCGAAGCAACCCACATGGGACGTGGGCTTGGACTTGGATTTCACCAATGAATACTCTCACTGTAAGCCACTGCTATGTATTTCCATTATTAGTGACCCATCTTTGGAATTACTGACTCTACGTTAATTTTTTTTGTAGATTATCAATGTTTTCAGTGAATAATATCGTCGTTGAACTGCCATGGATGTCAACTGTGTAATTAAGACTTTAGTTTGACGTTAGTTGATAAGGCATGTGCTTTTGAAACCTGTGTATTTCAAAAGTTACCCATACTTCTTATACGATTTTGGTGGGAAGAATTTCACGATCACGACAGTTTTCCTAAGCTACCGTTTACATTATTTTGCATGTGATAAAATAACAGAATGTACTAGTAATAGAAGTAAAGCATACAAAAGGGCACGCCAATATCTACAAATTGCTGAAATGCTTCAACTTTGAGTGTTGTTTCGTTTTTGGTTTTCAGTTTCTGCTAATTTAGTTCGTGAACAACACGACAAAAATGAGTAGCGCAGGAATTTCCCCTCCCTGTTGTCTGTGAAATTTGGTAGCTAGTAAGCTTAAAATTAATATCTCTTTACTTCTTTGTAGATTTCTCATCACAAATGTGTTCTGTGTTCTTCATGATCATGAATATTCCCTCAAGAAAAAGAAAAGGCTTCCTATTTGTATTGTATGTATGTATTCGAAATCGTTTGATAATGCCAAGTAGCACTGTTTTTTTTACCATTTATGTTGTCTATATAATAAATCTACTGTGAATTACTTACACGGAGATGAAAACCCGAGGAACTTGGGCAATAATTAAAGACTAGATGACAAAATTTACAATTTGAAGAATGCATCAAATAAAACTGGCAGCAAAATATTTCCCACAGCTTAGTGAACTAGTTTCTCATCGCTGATGTCGTCCACACTTAATGCCATCCCAAGTTCGATCTCGGAAATGTTGCTACGTAAGTCCTGAAGCATGCTGGCAATACGTTCTGAATCTCTCCTGGAATGATTACTAGTTACCGCTAGAACAAAAATCTTCTGAAGCTGTGATTTTTATCAAGTTTTGGTGGGCGACTTTCTATGGAATGTTGATTCTTAGCAAAGGAGGCTTCTGCGTCTTAACATTGTGCTGAAGAAAAAAAGTGAATCAGGTTGAAGTAGAAGTTCCGCCTCGTCCTGATAATATTTTTTGGGTTGTTTATTGCCTTTGCTTTTTGGCCCTTATTGCTCTAAATTTACCAATTAGTTCTTTTCGCTGATTGAAAGTAGTAACCTGGAAAGGATTTCGTCGATTTCGGATGATGAAGATGACGAACTGAGCGACGATGCGCTTCGCATGGTATTCGACGCAGATGACTTCTTTCGTGGAAGATCTAAGAGTGGAATGTTGTCTCTTTTCATACGAGGGCTATTCGTTTAGTTTTTTATGAACTGATCACTAATGATGAAGCAGTGAGAATATGACAATGAAAAGGAAACATATAGCTCATGGGACGAACTTCTGACGTATGCTAGTCGACACCACTGAAGTGCTTCATCGTCGCAAAACGCTGCATATTCAAGACACATCTGCGAGAAGCGCAACATGGCCAGCAGAAATGGCTCACTTCGTGGCGGTAATACTGACAAGAGTAGTCGATGGTGTTCCTAAAGAACAAAAAACCAAATACTCATGCATGCAAGCCACACTGACGAATACCTTCATATCACGGAAATGTCTCTCCATTTCGCTCGTGAAATCGGCAAATCGGATTGTCGTGTAGATCCAGCATAGGAATGCCTGATATTCGAATACAAAAAGTGCCATAGATAACTCGTCTGAAACGATGAAGCACGCTTTTCATAAACACTGGGGACCTGTGCCATCACATTTGCGCTTTATTTAGAAACTCGCTGGTGCAGTTCTTTTGGACTTGAGCTCTGGAAGCCCTAGGAAAAGCTACTCAACATTTTAACGATGATTCCTTATAATAGATATCCGCCATAAAATTCTTGATTCTTAACCGATTTCTGTGAAGACAGATGAAACTATATGAGATGTGGTGCGACATGAAACGTCTATAAGCACAGCTGTGTATTACAACAAGAATTTTTCGCTTTAGCTACTTAATGTGGGCATATCCTGTTGCTAAAAAGGGTACGTGTGGCGCAGTGGTTGGAGGCGCCACTGCAACACACAAAAAACTTTCGACTCCGACTTCTATGCTAATCATCCACTCTTTGGCTACCAAAGAATTTAATTTCCTATTAATTACCATATTATAGAATTCTGTCATGTACCTCTGTTTCCCTTCAGATGTTTTGCTGCTTCTGTTTGTTTTTTCGTTTTAACTTCGTAAGGGCGCGTGTGGCCCACTGGTTGGAGGCGCCACTGCGACACATACGTGGAATCGATCCCCTCGCCCATGACCCACCAAGCCCTCCATCTCTCTGCGGTAGGAAAATTGGTACCAGACTTGTCTGGGAGGATAGCAGCACTAGCTCGATACATCGGTAGGTCACCGCGAGTTATTGTAAAGGCTGGACATGCATTCAATCACCTCCAACGATACTTAATGAAGTCGAATGCATGGCGCATCCCTCATGGATTGATCAACGCCGAGAGTTTTATCCTTTTTATCCTTTATCCTGTTGCTGTGGACCAACAGAGCAGTTATCAGAGTTGATGAAATAACTGGGTTGCGAAATCTTGTGATACGGTGAGTATGGATGCTTTTTGGACGTTAATAATCAATTAGTATACTTTGATCAACTTGTTTTCACCTTACTTTTAGGTACACCGCTTTATCGATGTTTTAAACACTACATTACTTTCCTTGCCTACATGCCTTCCTTGCCTATCTACTGGTTGAATATCTATTGATAACGTATTATTTATATAATGTTCTCAACATTGGATTGAAGTTCCTAAGCCATCCATTCCTTTGCTAACTCGATTAAATGCATATTGTCGAAGGAATTACCCATCCCTGAGGTTCTGGAGTCATCCATTGTGGGATATGTGTTGGATAACTACAGGAAATTTTTGAAACGCATAGTGTTATAAGAAAGAAACGAAAGTTTACGAACCTTGCTTGGATTGTTCTAGCAATTCCGTCCGCAGTTCGTGCAACGCAGCACAAGCTTCGCGTAGACATCTTTTGCGTTCGATGGTTGATCGTTGAGAGAAGTAGTCGAACTGTAACTCTCGTCGAAGTTGATAGACATCGTCTGGTGTGATTCTGAATAATGAATGCTCAACTATTTCAACTACAATGTTAACTTTTTATTTACTGCCTTTTACACTCTTTCACGGCAAAATATTATGTGTGATACAACCACAATGTATTTGGTACTTGGATGGCCCGTCCTCATTGATTGTGCGGAGCCCAGCATGATCTCCATTTTTCGGAGATTTGCTGGTTAAGCCATTGTGATTCCCGGAGTCCTGAGGTTAGCGTTGCCAAAGCCTGCATCAAGTCGTCAACACCATAGGCAGCCGCCGCGCCCTTGTGGATGAGAGCGAGATTTGCCACTATGCGACTAGTTTGATACCAGGTCGCTGAAATTTTTACGGATCCTGGTATTGGTTTACTCTTAGCTAGGCTTCCTGTTAGAAGCGCTGGACTTCTTCTCAGTTTAGAAGACCCTGCCAGGGGGATGAATCCCCTGCTGTACATCGCAGTCCAACACTCAGGAACACCTCCCAGCCACTATGAGGCGGTAAACCGTTAGAAGGTTCAACCACGATGATGCTGAGATATTTGCAAAACTCCGGACCGAAAGTGTCTGCAGTGGGGAACGAACGCCTTATTACCTTTTCCTAAAGCTAACATGTTCACCACTTCACCATGCGGGTTCTTCGTTTCATCTGTCTCTTATCTAGTTTTCTATCGTTCAATGCCATCAGCAATCACCCGCCTACAGGATTGATCTGGGGAGCCCAAATCGACACTGAATGGAGCCAAACTGAGGCTGTAGTTGTAGTGTTCTCCACCGCAGACACGTGCGCTCCGGAGCTTTGCAAATATCTCAGGATCATTGTGGTTATCTCAGCTACGGTTTTAGTCTCGGTGTGAAAGCGTCTTCCTGATGAAATCATTCTAGCTCAAACTTTGCACCAAGAAGCCATCCCTAGTGTGAAGATTAAAACAGCATGATGATGTTCAAGTGTCTTAAGTCCATTAAATCATTTCAACTTTTACCTAGCAACGTTTTTTGCTCTGGTGAAGATTTTCTTCTTCAGTTTTACTCACCTTATGCCACTTCTTTTCAGATTTCGAAGGCAGCGTGAATTATAAGAATTGAAATCGTATTGTGAGGTCAGAGATGAGTTGGATGCTAGACTTCCCAGTGACGAATCCGATGTGAAGAACGAGTCTGTAATAAATAAACTTGGCAGCACTTGAACGAAAGTGGTTCCGACTTAAACGGTCATTTAAGTCCTTAAACCTTTCGGAACCAATAGTGAGCCACTACAACGTTATAACCCGAAATGACTATTTCTGGCTTAAATATTTGATTGTATACTGTGAAGTAGAGGTGTATAACACAATTTTTTAGAAATTAGGCGGACATAAAACAGTAGTTAGAGGTGCCCTACAATATACGCTTGGTCTTTGGTTCGATCCTACCCTTGGAGCTCACAAAGCCCGCTGTCTCTCTAATGTTGGCTAATCGTTAACAGACTTATCTAGAAGGATAAAAATGCTAACTAGACATACTGGTAGGTTCCCATTAGTCACCGAATAAGCCAAATGTGCATTCGATCCCTCTACGAAATCGCGTGCATGACACATCTCCAAAAAGGAGGAATCAACGCCAAACGTTTCGTCCTTTTGCTTCCGAGATATTCTGTGACCTTCGAAATAATTACGTTGTTCGAAATATCAAACTACTTCAAATGATCTATGATATAGTTTACCCTCTATGATTTGCCACCTCATGTGTAGCAGTGGATGTTGGACTGCAATGTACAGTGGGGTGTATCCGTTAGGCAGTGTTGCTTAACCTTATGGAAAATTTCGGCACTTTCTTCTGGAAACCCAGCTAAAAGCAATTAAAAGAAATGTTTCAGCCATGGAAGAGATATAGATGCATATTGGTAAATATCGAACTGGTCGGGAAGGGCTTCCGACGGTCTATGGTGAAAACCTACATACATACGAGAATGAATGTCTCGGATTTCCAAGGAAAACTTGTTTAACGATAAAAAAGCAGCCAATAGCAAATAGTTCTGGATCGGCATGATTCATGAAGACGAGCCATCCAATTAGAATTTATTACACCAATTCATTTGGCTTTTACCGATTAGACACCACGGTGGTCTAGTTCGATGTGAATGGTTCACTCTCCAGCAAAAAGGATCCTTTCTTTTCTGATTTGTACTATATCACCTCTTCATTACTATCAAGTGATATATTATACAACAGATGTAGTACCGTAAGTAGTCTTCGTTAACAAGTAGACAAATGGGGATTTTTGACGGAGTGTGTAGGGGAAAATATGAAGTCCTGAAATTGTGGTGCCTCTTCAAGGTATACCAAAAACACCGGGACAGCTAATTCCCTATTTGCATTGGCGTAATGCCTACTCATGGAAAGCAAACATTTACGCGGTGATACTCATAGTGTTGACGGAACTTCTCTATGCTGTCGGCGGAATGTTTAATGATGCTGAGATTCTTTTTTTGTCCATCAATGGAAGGCAACTAGTCGGTGAGCAAAAGTCTGCACGATAAACGAAACTATTTCAGTGTCCCATAAATTCTGTGTCGATCAATGGTGTGAGAGGTTAAAGTGCAAGATTTTGAAAACTCTTTATGAGATTAATCAAGACCATACAGTTCTAGTGTTCCAAAAATCGCTCATCACTCCCAACGGCTTTCCGCCTCAACATGGTTAGGAGGTGTTCATGGTTGTCGAACTGCGATGCACAGCAGAGGGATTCATCCTTCGACAGGGTCTCCCACGCTGCGGAGGAGACCAGCGTTTCCATCAGGAAGCCTAGCTAAGAATAAAGCAATACCAGGATCCACCACCGTCCTGTTATCAAACTACTCGCATGATGGCAAATCTCCATGTGATAACTTCACAACGGCGCAGTGGGGTGACGACCGAAGGAAGGCTTGGGCTAGGCTGACCTTGGAACTCCAAGGAACCACAGCGGCTAAACCAGCAAATCTCCAGAGAGTGGAAATTATTCTGGGTCCTGCACAACCAGTGAAGACGAGCAATCCAAGTATCCAAGTAGGTAATTCGCGCACCAATTTACAAACGGTAAAAAACCGCCGTTGAAACAGACCTTTGTGAAGCGATGTGTTGGAGCCGAGTGTGCTTTTTTCCGCGCACAAATCGAGAACGCTCTGACGATGTGACTGCCGATGACGGCCGTTCGAAAAGTGCAACATTTTTAGTGTGACGTCACAAATTATCTGAAACGTTGGTCAAAAAATTTACAAGTACTTTTATTTGGAGAAGCAAATGCAACTGATTAAAACGCTTGTGAAGGTTATGCGATCTAAAATTAGAAAAAATCCAATCCAACCAAAGAAAGGAAGGAAAATGAAGTAAGAGCAACAGCTAGTGAGTATACAAGAAAGTAGCCCTAAGGAACATGAAGGTTCTCTTTTGTTGAAAATGGCTCAATGAAATGACAAATATAAAAGAGATTGCCTGAAACCCCAGGTATTTGGAATTATTTAAAACCTTCGAACTCAGGTGCTAAACAATAATCGTGTTATTCAAAGTTTGTACACCAAAGGAAGGTTTGAAAACCTTGAAATAAAAGTGAGAGTAGATTTACAAATTGCTAGTAAACTAATAAATA